AGCTTTTGTTAGGATTTGAGCGAAAGAATTGTTTAGAAAAGCACGCCTTCTACGTAGTTTGTCAAGATGCTGCAATGGATGCGAATGAATATTCAGAAGATTTTGAGGTATCTTACAAAATATTTTCATACAAAACATTTTTTTCTTTTAAGAAAAATTATAAGTAACTTACCGAAAGTACTTGGCTTTGATGATTGTGCAGGCGAATCCATTCCACGTGTAGGCAATTCTATATAGAAAATGTATGTTATCAGCGCTTTCTCTTTCCACAATATAATAGACAAATGAATTACGTATTTATTTTTTTCTGATATGGTTTGTGACAATGACAAGACGAGTATGAACAACTGTCAGCATAAGAAATTCGTGATTTATTTATTAAAGATTCACCTTCGAGTCAGTTACAAAATATTCTTACCTACTCCATATCACATTATTATTATTAAACAGTGCGACAAAAAAATACTGTATTGCTCGAAAAGATCAACAAGTAAGAAAATTCATTTTGTGATATATTAAATAAATTAAATTACCGTGAAAACAACAAATATTAGAAAAAGACTTGTTATGATTAGGTTATGAGCACTAGACAATAGGAATATGAAACTGATGTACACAGTTCTCGAAGATGATGCCATTACGTCTAAAAACATACCGACAATTCTAGAGTGCAAATTATCATTTTCAATCGAAAAGTTAAATTATTTAGTGAATTGATTTTCAACATTTATAAAACAATAATTTTTTGTTCAAACTAATGATATGATTAATAATTACTACAATAGTACAGTGCTTAAAATATAAACTAAGTTATTCGAAATAACTTTCCAGAATCTAAAATTGATCGATGAGATGATCAATTTCAAAAAAATGAACTACTTAAAATCAGCAATAAAACAATCATGTGTAAGGAATAAATTCATCTTAGCGAAATTCATGATCTGGAAAACCATGAAACGAAAGGCTTATTTCGATTTGAATAGATTATAACTTTGAATTCATTGATAACGCTTGATACGTAGACCAAGTTTAAAATAAAACTCTCGCTATCTAGCCAATTTTCTTCTTAGACATTAAAAATATTAAAGTTTCCAAAAAAATTTAATTTTTTTTCATTTATTCCCCCAGATTTACCAATAATACACTATAAAACTATGTACAAATAAGACGATAAACTCAAAAATAAATGTTTATGTATTTCATTCGTGTGAACAAAGTGAAAAATAATAAAGATTGTACTCATTTATATATGAGGTCTTTTTCATCTATATTAGCATCATTCGATTAGTTTTCTAGTTTTTTATTAGAATGATAACAATTTTTTCATTGACATGAATAGAATTTTTATATATCAATAATGCTTTGGTTAATTCGAATTTTCTTATTTTGTTTTCTACCAAAACATTTCAATTAAACAAAATAGTTTTCTTATGTACTTTACTTTAATTTAACATTTTATGAAGGAAAACTTGTTTCGTTGTAAGCCATCATATGTAGACTCGCGAAAACTTAAGTTCATTACATTGAATTCTAATGGATCAAGCAACTCTTATGTTGATCAGCTTTTCTTATCAGTATTGAATGACATCGCCAATTCTTTTCATATCAAGTATCATTACTGAGCACCTCATTATAACTTTATTTTGAACTATGGGACGCTTCTGTAAGAAAACAGTTACATAAACCATTATTACCGATCAGTGTCCTCTAATGTTTCAAAGATTATTTATCTACTCCAATACATTTCAACTAAACAATATTCAATAGCTGTATCTTGATAAGAGAACGAGAGATTAAAGCGCAAAAATAAAGGAAGGCCAATAAGTTTCGACTCTTCTCTGTAAATCGATGACATATGTTGTTAACTTATATATGGCTAATTGATCAAAATATATGATTTTGAAGAGGAAGCTTAAGACTATCATTTGAAAACGATGTAGTTCGTAATATGTAAATCTAGTATAATATTATGGTTATTTTACTAGTCTTAAGTAAACATATCTAAAGGATTTATATGTTCATCTGATGAACATTTCGTAAAAATATCAATAATGAAATTTTATGATGTGCTGACCTTGTTTTCGAACAATAAATTTTACCTTCTTTTGAGTACTCCTTAATGTTTATACACATATTTCTAAACTAAATTTTTTCCATTTATTTATCAATAATTTTTTTCTTGGCATCATGTCATGAATCTAATACATATTTACTTAAATATTATCAAATAACACCTAGCAAATTTTCTATTGGACATATGTCATCCATCTTGACCGCTTGATCAAAAAGATCGATAGAATTATTATCTTTCAATAATTATTTTGTTGCAAATACGTCAACTTCCTTGACATTGTTTTATAAGAGTGAATTCTGCAAGCCTTAATATCAATTAATAATTTGACCTTCATGACAAAGCTTCATGAATTCAAAACACTCAACAAATAATCCTCAGCCATTCTGATCTGTCACTTATAAAAAAAAATAGAATACAAGCAACAGTAGAGGTTATAAGTTATCCAAATGAATATCTATTCAGTGTAATATCTTAAATTATAAACACAGAATATGTTGACTATTTTCATCCATCTTTTACGCATTAACATATAGTATTTTATATTGTGTAGGAAAAGATTTCTTTTCATTAATTTCGTGTATCTTGAATAATATTCTTCAACTTTTTGAAAAATAATAAGCCTGAAGGTGTGAGTATTTATCTATTGTTTTTTCACACCCACACCCACACCCATACCCACTCTCAACGTCTTTAGACTAATATTGTACTAACTTAAGCTTTTTAGTAATTCAATTAATTATTTAGATATATGAATTAGAAATTCCTGCAAAAAAAAGTGAGAATCAAATGTTTATTGTATCTTAAGTCTTTTGAATAAAAGCTACATTGCGGTGAGTTTTGTGAAGGTATCCAAAGAATAAATTTTCTATCAGCTGTTAAACAAACGAAACACTCAAGATTTTTGTTTTCTATATCAATTGAACTTTAAATTCTGTAATTGTTGTTAGTATTTGATAGTGGTCCAAAGAAAAAGAGAGATTTACTACTACTGTGAACATCGTTGAACAAGTTGAGGATCATGCAAATAGAAATACAAAGACAAAGTGTACTCTGAAAGCTTAGTATATTCTTCTATCAAATCTATTCAACGAATTTGTTTTCGTGAGTCGTTCATGATGGTTGATGAGGTAGGTGTGGCGTGTAGATTCGAGTATGAAAAAAGCGTTCACATTCATTGATACGCAGCAATTAATGAACTCTCAACATTTAGAAATAATTTTACTGTTTCTATGTGCTCATTATACAAAAGCATAAAAGTTACAACCGATTCAGTCATGATTAAGCAACCTATCTTACTTGAAGACAGGTCTCACAAATGAAAACCGACATTGTTTTACTGAAAGAAGTAACCGGATTCATGCATGTATTCACAATTATAACGTTTGACACTCTGATTAAGTTAACCATGTGTGTTAATGTTATACCTATCTTAATCATTTTCAATTTTCGTCGTATCTTACTATTAAGGATACAATATAAATAATAGTTTCCTCTACCTTTTGAGTTTTTCAAATAATTTACTTACTAGGGTCAATTAATTAAAGGCGAAATATTCTGTGTAATTTTAGTGCTGTATCGTTGTTGATTAAAGTTGTTTTGCTTCTTACACTGTTTGCTTGTTGTTTTCAAATGATTCCTTTATTTTTTGCGACATGGCCAAGCTATGCGGTCTGCGTATATTGGCCTTGTCTCCTTTTTTTTTCGTTTTCTTTTTGAATTTTTTTCAAATAAACCCTCTATTGATAAGAACTAAACATAGAAGCAATAAAACACTCATAAGAAGAGTAGACACCGAGTGACAACAAAGAAGAAAAAAAATCATTTCCATTCAGTGAAAGACATTTCATATTGAGTATACAAATTAATATTCATTTTTTCTGTATAATTTGAGGTAGCATGTTGGGTATGGGTGTGAGTGAGAATAAAAAAGGCAGCAATCCGCAACCACGTTCACGCTCACGCATCCACACTCACACTCTCATAGGTAATTTTTTGACAGGAAAAAGGGTCTATAATGCATTTGATTCAACGTAGTGAGAGAAATGTGAAACTCGTTGTGACCCTAAGGCAAACGTTTTTTTTTAAATATTCTTTTAGTCATTTTGTAGAGAATAAAATGTTACATAATGTGAAAAACAACTCAGCTTGGTGTCTTTCGATTTAAAAAAATGACTGTAGACATACTCTCTTTCACTATACAACAGAATAATCACAGAGCAAGTTTTTCGCCAGGAATTCTGAAAGTTGTATTCTATAAACGAACTAACTAACAGTAAAGACCGGCCGGTCGAATAACATATGACAGAAAACACTTTAGAGACTACATTCATAATGAAAAAAAAAACAAAAGTCGAAAACTTTCGTTGCTATATCAGAAAAAGAAGGCCTCTTTAAGTTTAACTCTAACTATGTTATCAAACAGTTTCTAAAGTTCAAGCGTCACCCGTCATAGAGTGAAGGGTTTTTTATGAATATTGAAAATTATTTGTTGATTCATCGAATTTTGAATTGGCATTCAGTGTCGATGGCAGACAGAACAACAATTTCATTGATCAGTTGGAAATATAAGGGAACCGGTGAGCTTCATAAGTTTGATTCCGATTATTCCAAAGAATTCATTTATACTAAATCCGTTCAAGCATACGACAGAAAATTCATCAAAATAGCGACACGTGTTTACCTTGACATATAAAAACTTTCATCTTCAGGCAGTATACTATTGTTTGACTGATGATAGTTAAACAAGAGAAGAAAAAGAAAAAGCTTATGATTCTTTCTTCGACATTAAGTTAAGACTTCGAGAGAGAGAAAAAGAGAAAATGAAAAAGAAAACGTGAATCATGTTAAGCATAAGTAGCAGTTTTTTTTTACTATGATGACGATTACAGGACATAGAGCATTTAGTAGCTCTTTGTAATCGATCCCAATGGGCCAAGAATCGAGAATTTTGTCAGTCGATGATAGTACCGTCAATAATAGAATTAACAGTGCTCAATCTAGCGTAATCGATTCTCATCGTCTTCGACCTTGGCAACCACTTTTCAGACGCAGTACGATGCTGATTGGTATAACCATTGCTGTAACCGGCATCTTTCATCTTTCTTATGCATTTCATGAATCCAATTCAGTCCTACTAACACGACATCAATCTTTAGTGCGCACATCTCAAGATAGAAATTTATCTACAACGACAACACCATTGCAAAACAATACCAACAAGACCGATGTCGTTCTTCGTGAATCTGAACTACCTGTTTCATGTGTTTTTGGAATTCTTCGTTCGGATGGATCATTCGGTAATCGAATGTTTCTTTTTGCTAGTGCCTATGGCTTAGCTCGTATTCATTCATGTCATCTCTATGTACATCCTTGGATCATTTTCGATCTGCGATCTACGTTCACGATTAATCTAAATCAAACTCCAGTCCAACTTTTGAAAAATCCGGCAGAATTTGAAAATCGAACTGATGTTTTTCGACGATATAGTGCATGCACATTATTCAACGATCTATTCAAAATACCCTTACCTTCTAATTATACAAGATATGAACTCGTAGGTTTTTATCAAGCTTTCGGCTATTTCGATCGCTTTCGCACAGAAGTTGTTCAATTATTCGAATTTAACAGTGAAACAATCAGAATAATTACACCATTTGTTGAACAATTGGTCAAATGTGAGTCCTACAACACGATGTTTCTATTTCAGTTTTGTTTCATAGAAAGATCTTTGAGAAGTGTTCAAATTCTGATGCTGAGAAAAATGAATATTTAGAATTACGATCGATGTTGATATCTCTTAAGATTTTTTTTATCTGAATCAATTGAATCATATATGAAATTGAAAAACTTGCTCTTCAAATTATTTTCATATCGAATTCAAGGTATTTTAATTTTATTATGAGTTTTATCAGAATCTACCTTTCACCCACATACTACATGGACAATTAGTTCTTGGTACTGACCGATAATGCAAGTATTCATTTGACAGAAAATAAATGAAGGTAAAAGGCGTGATTCAAAGTCATTTGATAATTCATTCTTTGGTTAACATTTATTTGACGAATTTTCGAGATTAAGAACATATTTAAATTGACCACAAAAAGGATGTAGTCGATTTATGTATCTTTTGAAATTTGTTTACAACTTCTTTTTTCAGTCAAAAAGTGAATTTACTAGCATCTAACAAGAGCAGAAGTCACTTAACACTATCTAAATGATTTTTGAGGAAGATCAGCAGTAAATAATTCATTGAAAAAATTTTTTAGATTGGTTTCAAAAATTTGTGAAATGTCAGTTGAAAAGTCAGAAGTCATGTCTCAAGAATAGCATGTCTAGTATCGTTCGAAAAACTCTATCGCACCAGATATAAACAAACTACGGAGAACATTTTGTTAGCATAATAGTTAAACCACAATTGTACTGCAAGCAATGGACGACTCGCATTAAGTTGCGTAAATGTAGTCTGAAGAAAGATCTATCACAATAATTTTGAATTATGCCCTTTATTTCTATTGTCATTTCGTATATGATTTTATGTGATTCTACGATGATGATTTCAATATTATTCATATTGAGATGATCTTATGTTCAGAATTTTTTAAGTTGTTCATGAGTAACTCGGGGAAGAAAAGTTATAAAATAAGCATAAGAATAAAGTATGAGTTCTTTAATCATATACTACGTTTTCTTTTTCTTATAACTGTTGACATGCTAATTAGATTGCTGATCGATTCGAATCTGATAAATGTATCATTATGCTATTATAAATTGAATCCATTCTAGAGAACGATTTTCGTCAGGATGTGCTGTTCATCCCGTGAGCATGCCTTCACAGAAAAAACACTATAACACACATATTTTGTTACTATCTCGAACAATTTGTAGTTTCATGATTTTTCTTCTGTTTCATTAGCTGTGTGGAATAATTCTGTCAACTTCTATGCTAACAATAGTAAAGTTACACATGCAACACTCAAATCATTTCTTCTACATCCGCCTTCTTCATTGCCACGTGTAACATGGATAGGGGTGCATATTCGTCGTGGTGATTTTTTGACTTTCTTCAAAATTGACACGAGTACTTCTTATCTCATTTGGGCTATCAACTATTATCGTCAGAGATACATTAATTGCCGATTTTTAATTGCGTCTGATGATAAAAATTATGCTAAGCAACATCTTGGCAATTTCTCCGATGTTTTTATCACACCGTCGTCGTTTTTTCATGGTCATGATTTAGCCGCATTGGCTTTATGTGAACATTCAATTTTAACAGCAGGGACTTATAGTTGGTGGGCAGCATGGTTAGCAGGTGGTAATGTTATACATGATCTTAACTATCCAGTACCATTTCAGAAATGCATCAAAGAACATTATTTTCCTCCATGGTTTCTTTTTCCTCACAATAGTTCAAGTAAACAATGGGGCTCGTCTCTATCACCGTGATTTAGAACATTTGTTTGGTTTTCGCGAAGAAAAGGTTGAATATATTTCTATTTGAATATTAATCGATAAAGAAACTAGATATTATTCGCATTTTGGGGTGTGGGCATTCAAAACAGTTACCCACAACCAGACTCGCAACCACACCTACAGCCTGCCGGAAGTTCTGTAACAATTTTGAAATTCATCGTTCTCACGTTCAACAAAATCAAACTTCTTGAAACTTTCGCAGATTATTGTATATATCAAGTATAACATAACTTCAAAGTTTTGATGTCTATAGCTTTTACTATGGGTAAGAATCAGTAACAAGATTGTCATGAACTAATTTTTCAATTTTTCTGAGCATCTTGATTATTGTTAAAAAAATTTAAACAATGGAAATGAAAAGAATAGCACAGTAATATAAAATGACAGATAAAATAGCAGCATCATTAAAATTGGTAATTCATCAAGGTGTTTATGAGTGACTCGAACATCGACATCTATTACTGTGCTGTTCTTTTCATTTCCATTATTTGTATTTTTTCATAATAATCAAGATGATCAGAAAAATTGAAAATTTAGTTCGTGACAATCTTGTGACTGATTCTTTCTCATAGTAAAAGCTATAGACCTCAAACTTTGTAGTTATGTGATACTTGATATGTACAATAATCTGCCAAAGACTCAAGAAGTTTGCTTTTTTTGAACGCGAGAACGATAAATTTCAAAATTTAACAGAAGTTCTGGAATACCCCTTAAAAATCGAAATTTGATAGAATTTTTTAAATAACTTCATCTATGCAGCATTTTCTTAGGGTTAATGCAAATTGATTACAAATCCTGTTGGATGATAGCCGAGATACTGCTCTTCAAAAATATACGGTCAATATCTGTTTAACTTTAAACATAGCAAAAACACCATAAAAATGAAAATGGAACCGAAAATTATGAAACACCCTTTATGTATTCGATTGCTTGAGCTCATTTTTCAGGATCGGTCCACAAACTTCTGAGATATCAAATAAACTTGTCTATAGCCACTATTCAAAACAAAGATACTTTCGATATAATCTAGCTTTTACTCAGAGTGCCAAATATCGTGGTATGAATCAATAAAAGTTCCTGTGATGAAACTATCTGATTGTCGTTCTTGCTAAAAAAGACATAAAAGCAAAGGATTTTTTCATAAGATAGCATAGCTTCTTGTTTAGAGCAGACATAAGACCTTGTTCCTCTTATCCCTTCTCTTATACACATTTTTAGTAACACAAAAATTTAACTTATTACACTCTCTGCACCAGAGAGTAAAGGGTGAGAGTTAACTGTTTCTTTTAGTATTCCATTAATTGAGCACAAAGATTTGCTTTTGTTAATCGTGTCATTTAATTTGATCAACAATGCCGTTTGTTACATGACGAGATCATATGTGTCGCTTTTTAAAAATGAAACATCAATATTTATTTGAAGACAAAAAGATTTTTTAACGAATTTGATAATTATTAACTTTTTTGCAACATATTTAATAATATTTTGTGTTCGAGGACTTATTTCTCGTCGATTTTTCTTGACTCCATATCTATTGACAATACAGGCAAAGGCAAGTTCTTTTTTCAAGAGCAGCAAAACCAATGCATCCGCCAGCTCCAACAATAAATAAAGATTAATAAATTGACTTTGATTAATAATTAATAAATAAACCTTCATGACCAAATATTTCTGATCCAAATGGTTTTAAATCATTATCAAAAACTTACAATCCCATTGCAAATGCATTCGGATAACCTCGTACAAGATCAATATCATTCTTAGGTGTATTTGATATTGTTGCTTTCTTCATAATATCGTCATTCAATAATCGTTTTTGTTGTCGATTATCTAAGTCTTCAACGAAAGAAGCATAAAGTCTTGCAACAAATCGAACATTTGTTATTCCATTAACACCTGGAATTTCTGCTTGATGATAACGATTATCAGTAAATACACTTAACTCTGAAAGAGTTCTTTCATCTATAATATTTCCTACATTAGAATCGAAATATAATGGCGATATACGATATTCTTTTTCTTTGGGTAAATCAATATAAGATTTGATTTTTAATGGATTTGTAATCTCATCTTGAATATATTGTCCAAAAGTTCGTTTCTTCGGATCGATTCTTCGTACAAGTTCTCCAGCTAACTATCCATAAGTTAAACCATGATACTCATGAGCTGTTCCAGGTGTCTATTCTGATTTTCTTTGTTCGAGTATATGAATAATCGGTATCCAGTTTAGTGCCAGTTCGAATGGACTAATATCGGACGGTAATCCAGCACGATGTGAAAGAATATCAGAAACTGTTGTACTTTCTTTTCCGTATTGTCCATATTCTGGTCAAATTTGTCTAACAAGTGATGAATAATTGAGTAAACCTTTTGAAACGCATAATGCAACAGCTGTAGCTACTAAACCTTTTGTTGTTGAAAAAGGAATTTGTAACGTATCATTTTCATAAGGTTGTCCTTTTTGATTCATTGAACCAATCACCCCATAGATCAACAACTGGTTTTCCTTCATAGTCAACTGAAAATGATGTTCCTAAATATTGTTGTTCTTGAAAATTCTCTATGAACAAATATTGAACAAATTCTCATCCAGGATCAGTTTTACCATGAACATTAAAATTCTGATGAGTAAAAGCAAAAATAGTTCAGATAAGAAAAGACCAAGTCCATAAAATATACATTTAATAAAAACTGGTTCGTATTAACAATCGAAATGAAGAAATTTCACCAACATAAAAAGGAATATCACTTTCTTATATTAAATGAAACAAACCCATAGTAAATATCAAACAATTTAAGAGAAAGATTTTAATGACTAGCAGTTAATCGTTTTTTCTTCGTGTTCTTGTGTACTTGTCTCTTATGTATAGATTGTCATCAATCATTTTGTTCTATCACTAGTATTTGAATGATAAAAATAGAAAAATATCAAGAGACTGGATTGTGAAGACCTTATTCTGTTTTGTCGAAGGGCGTATACTGCTTTAAAGTGTAACTAATATTGTATATCCATTCTTATTATAATCCATTGTCATTTCAAGCCTCTTTTAACTATTGATAAATCTAACGTTCTTCGTCATCTTTTAGTATGATGTTCTTAGTCGACTATTTTCTATCACAATATTTAAAGGAAACAGTTTGTTAGCGCAGCCCTTTTGGAACTGAAATGTGGAACTCAAATATTTTCCATAAGCTAGAATACTGAAAAGTTTAAAATTATTATCCATTTCAAAATAAAAGAAGGGTGAGTATTTTTAGAATAACTTTTGATGGGAACTAGATAGAGATCTGTGGTTTTCACCATTTAAAAGAGGTGATGAAACTACATCAAATTATCAATACCAAATTTTTCTGGTACAGTTTTTTGGAGTCTGTCGCCAAGGTTTTTAGAAAATTGAAGCTTTTTAACAGGGATAGAAGAAAGATTTTTTGTAAGAAAAAATCTGAAAAAAAAGCGATTTTTTCCTCGAAAATACTTAGTAAAACCTTCATAGCACGTGATGAGCTAAACCTATTAGCATCGGGCTTACAGAGATTATTGAGTTTTCGTTAATGATTCTGATACACTACTGAAGAATAAAATTTCAAAAGTTTTACATTACGCAATGTTTTGTTGTCGGAAAACTTATCAGAAAACCGTGAGAAAGGGTGCTAGAAATTTTTAGTATTGGTAATTCGATGCAGTTTCATCACCTCTTTTAAATGGTGAAAACCACAGATCTCTACCTAGTTTCCATCGAAAATTATTCTAAAAATATTCGCAATTCTTTTATTTTGAAATGGATAATAGTCGCTAAAGTCTGTAATGGGGTGGGGAGCTGTAAAACTTCGACTTAAAATTTACACTCATTATTTTCTTCGAAAATGTATGTGAGTTCCACAAAACCATCAACATTCTCTTCATCAGTAAGTTCAATTGGACTATTTTCGAAGTCGATTTTATTAACCACCCATTTTAATGGAAATTATTTATGAGTATCTTTTTTTTGTTTTCATTCTCTTCTACCATATGAATTTAACAATAAGCACTGCAGCTGCCTGTCTTACGATAAGACATTCACGCGATTAGGGTTTGAGTATATTAGCAGTAAACCATTCTTAGAGTCGAACCCTAAAAAAACCAAGTCAATTTCAATGCCTTTTAGCGACGTATGTGTTCCTTTTGATTTAAACCAAAATTGATAAACAAAGTGGCATAGATTTATTGTTTACTCGAAATAGAAAGTAGAGTATGGTGTGTGGATGTATAGCATATTCCGATGTAACCCTAGCTCACTCCACTCTACTGTATTAATTTGGTTTCATGGAAGAGCAGTATGTAATTAGAGCATATGGCAATGTTTTACTTTGACTGATAACACCATCAATGTTAACTATGTATATCCATTTGGGTACGTGAAAGTTTTTGTTTATATTTTGTCAATTCGTCTCTTCGACCTTGAAAATCTTTAACAATATATTTTTCTGCTTCTTGTCATAATCATAGATTACTCGCGTGATATTTCATGATTTTCTTTAGAAGGATTACACTTAGAATTATTCCAATGAACAAGCCAATTACAGCGCATATTAAGACTATAGCGAGGACATCGGCAAAAAATCCGTTCCTGTTGCTATTACAACAACGATGGCAAGCCGATCTAAAGTCATCATTACTGTTGCTAGCACAGAAAAAGATAATCAAAGTAACAAAATCGACAGTGACCAATAGTAAAATAAAAGCGCTAAAATAATAAATCGTAAATCCATTGATCGAAGATTTCAAAAGCCTTTCTCTTTTAGCTTTTGGATCGTTTTGAAAGGTTTCAATGATGAATTCGAATTGGCATTTATCACAAAACTTGAAACCTTTTCCACGTTTATTTTCTTCTCACCAATAATATAAACATGTTCTGAGAACATAAACTGAATTGCCAGTACATAAACATGAACTTGTGATGTCATCAGGATTGTCAATATCTAAACATATTTGACATTGTTGTAATTAATCCTATGAAAGTAACAATCCAATATCGTTTCTTACAGGCACGAATGAACTTCACTGAATTATTCAAATACAAAGAGAAAATATTAAAATAATTACGATAAATGGCTTGCGTATGAGGAAAATCATTAGCCATTAGTGTGTGGTTATTACGCTCTTCTTCATATCAAAAGAGTATTTCCTTTAAAGTTTCAATATGAAGAGCATGTTCAGAATTTCTATATTTGAACATTCCTAGGTATGTATCACGTTAAAGTTCAGTTATAATGATGAGGAAGAGCGGAAATATGAACAAATAAAAATAGAATAAATCTACCGTATAATTTAGACAAATGGTTATATTCAAAAAGGAAACACATAGCTAAAGAAAAATAGATTCTCGTCAATTTAGGCCTTCTTCCTTTGTTTTTCCATCTGTCTAAATCATATGATAGTTCTATTCTTTATTTTTCATTTTGCTTGAGTTTTCTTACTAATCACTAGGCCCGTAATGCAAATCAATGCATGTACAACAAAGTTCAAACAAGAAAATTTGAAAGAAAATACGATTTCGATAATGAGGAGCTCGGTTTTCATACATCAATAATATTGCAATACATTCCAGACAACTAGAACACTTTCAAGAAAAACAAGCAACCAGAAAAGAGTTTACTCTACTCGAATGAAAGTAGCTTCTATTCCAAGTTTTCTCGAAAATACTATTCATTCAGAAAAAGAAACAACTGAATTATGCATTTAAGTTTCCGCAGATATCTCAACTCAAGTTAACTAAAGAGAGCATAGAAAATAAGTACTCTAAACAATTTTATTGAAATGTGAAAACTAAAATGATTGTAATTTAGACCATCTTCGTAGCTTTTCGACCAATATGCTGTGCTAGCTGCTATAAGAAAAGCAAGGGATAACAATTAAGAGAAGCGAGTTTAGGGACAACAAAAACATCTGTCTTCTGACTTTAATAAAATGGTTTGTCTTTATTGTTTCAAGGAAAAGCGTCATGCTATGCAATAAATAAATTAAATAACAGCGAAAACGGAAAAGATGATACACTATGTTGTGACCTTCCACCTAGGAAAAAAGAAAACAAAACTATTTCTTGTTACTTGTTTTGTTGAACTATAGTGCGACCCATCAGTGAGTCGCATCGTCTCGATTGGGTTGCAATAAAATACTGACAGGCTACTTAAGACAATCGTTTTGATGTGTTTCTCAATATTTTTCAGTCTGTTTAATTTTCGAAATGCTAAGTGACTTGGGCAGTCATTGTTTGTGTGGATTGTGTGACGATTTTTGATAGAAGGGATATTAATGCTGATGGTATTACACTTTATTCTATTCCTTCATATCATATAATCGCATCGTTTACATACATAGCACACGCTTATATACGCAAGTAGAAGAAGAGAGGATGAAAAGAGAAGATAAGGTCACGGAGAGAGCCGATATAGAAGAACAATAGGATAAGGACAGAAGAATAGAAAGGTAAGGACAATGTATAATATACGAGTGAGTGATATGGGAAGGTTTAGTATCATGAATGAAATTCAATCAACCGGAATCGTTACAGATTGTTCTTGTCATATTTTTGATCTAATGCTATAAATGTATTGATGGCCACATACCACAACAAGCTTTAATGTAGATCAGTGTCACAGTGTTTTGTTGGTTTGTTGAGATGAATCGTCGACATTAATGAATCATTCGTGTTTCGTCGTACGGTTGAATGAATTATCTACAGGCACAAGGGAAGCATGTGATTGATTAATGTGAAATATTTTTCATACATGATTGAGGTAACATGACGAAAACAATTGAAGATAAAAAATTTTGTTTATACAAACAACGAGCTAATTTTAAAGTTTAGGAGTATAATCTATGAGACTGTTATTTTGTTTTATATACTCTTTTTTTTCTATTCTCCATTGATGAATTTGGGTCATTTCCTTCCTTCTCGCTTGTTAATTTCACTTTCTTGTTGATAAGAAGGAAAGCTTTTGTTACCTTTTTCTAGTTTAAGAACTGTAGCATATATATACTATATATATTTACTTCTTCCTTACATAAAATACAGTTGCTTTTCTTTTTCATATGATTATTTCGATCTCATCTAGTATAAATTTGAAATTATTTGATTGTTAACACTTGTAGAAAGTATAAAACAAATATTAAACAGAAAGGAAGCATTTTAATAAGCTCGTGACTTCAAAACGACTGTTGAAAATCAGAAAAAATAAAAGATTGAGTTTGTCATATTGAGTTGTTATTTGTTACGGTTTGCTCCTTCTGTACACTAGTTATATTATGGGATGAGCAAGAAGGTCTCGAGCACTTTTTTCTGTTCTTTTCTTTCACGTTTCTGCTTCATCGCTTTTTCCTTTTTCTTCTTTTTTTAATCGTTCGTCTATAAGTTGTAAGGACGACACACTGTATAATGAATCAAATTTCGTTAAGCTACCGTACTAAGTAACGTAAAATCGCAATTTTATCAATAATATATGATACACATGGCAAAAGTGAAGTGAGGTAAGTAATAAAAATATGACGTCTCTAACAATTCAGATGTTGAAAAAGGACAACAGAAAACCTAACTGATACTTCTTAGTTCTATTCAAATTTATTTCCAACAATTAAAGTTTAATTATGAAATACTTAGGGCAATGCAAAATTATTAACCACAGTACTTTGATTCCTTATAAAAATTTAAAAGAAACTTCGTGTTTTCATGGACTAATAGTAAAATGGTGCTATTATGTCATTTTTCAACTAATATCATAATAGTTAAATTTCAATAAGATTTCTTTAGCAGTCACGTATGACATTTACATTAGCTCATATTGTGTTCCGTGTGTATTCTCTTCTTGATTTTTTTCTCTGTTCTTCTACTCTCTTTTCTGTATCATAATTTTCGCCTCCTCTTATACATAGCTGTCTATGTATATTAAGGTATACAACATCTTTTGGCGATAGAACAAAAACAAAATACAGAAGAAATTAGCTTGTAGTTCGTTTTCAACCTTTTATCGACTTTCACAAAGCTATTTTGACCATCTTCCAATTCTCATGAGAAAAGAAGCTTCGTCATCGCAAATAAGACATGATTCATCGTGAATCACTTTTCTGAAATATAAGGTATAGTGGATACCTTAATGCAAAAACAAAACTTTCCATTATTCATATTGAATAGAGATGAACATTGTCAAAGCTTTGTCTAACTTTATTTGTTTGACTTGCTAGATACCACACTAATAAGCTAAAGATACAAACAAAATATAAATTCACTATTAAGCATTAAATGATCAGAAAAAAGAATAAAGAAATGGAAGGAGAAATACAGAGGGAAAACCAAGCAGAGAATACATCTCGAATATAATATGAACTAATGTAAATGTCACATGTGACTGTTAAAGAGATATTGAATTTCGACTATTATGATATTAGTTGAAAAATGACATATAATAGCGCAAAAAATAAAGCATCGTTTTTACTATCAGTGGTATAGAAAGGAAAGTTTCATTAAACTTTTTGATGAGAAATTAAAGTGTTTCTGCCATCACTTTTGAATTGACTTGAGTAGCTTTTTATGCTGATTTCAAATAAGACATTTGATTCAAATTACATTCGGATTCGCTTTTTGAAAAATGTCGATTATCTGTAAAAAAAATCACAAATTACGTCTCAAGCATAGTAGTGAGAGCAAATTGCTTTGATTATCTAAGAACTTCTGATTGCATCGAATAAATCTATTTCCGACAAATCGCCATTGAATTTGGATTAATTTTCATTTAGTACTGAACTAGTTTTGAGATAATGATATTTAAAATGACCACGTGTAGTTCTATCGAATTGTATACTTCTACTATAGCCGTGATAATTTTTTTTCGATAAATGAAAAAAGTGAATGTATTAAAGATTATATTGTG